ACGATTAGATCTGGCTACACTATCCATTTGCAAAAGTCATCTATCAGAGCCAAACCAATCTACAAGATAACCTTCACGAGGGACTACACGCCTCTGTCGCTCCGCTTGCGTGACGCCAACCCATCTGGAACGACGTGACATTGTTGTTTCGGAAGATTAGATCTGACTGCACGATCCATTTGCAAAAGTCGTCTATCAAAGCCAAACCAATCTACAAGATAATCATCATGAGGGACTGCGCGCCTCTGTCGCCCCGCTTGCGTGACGCCAACCCATCTGGAACGACGCGCCGAAAGTCAGAGGATTTCATGTCTATCCTGGTGCGCTCCAGAAGGATCGCTTACGCATAACCTTCCGTTTCGACTTTCTCGCATTATCTATCTACAAAGCTGCAACGGACGCCTCATCGCCGCCCGTTTCGACCCCCTGTATTATCTATCCGCAAAGCTACAACGTCCGCCCCATCGCCGCCTGCTTTCACGCTGAATTAAACTAGGCCATAGTATACAGCTTTGTCATGTGATTCACACGCACGTTTTGGTCGCAATTCGGTGGGGATAAGATAATAATAAGAAAAATAATGAGATGAGACCCCTTTAATCCACAAGAGGAGGCAGTTTATTTTCTGCCATAATTTTGTTTCCCAAGAAAACCCATGGCAGCCCTGAATTTCCTGGTGAAGTCCACGCCGTCTGTGTAGGGCGGGTGTGTGCGCGGAGTAGAATGACTGTCCGGTGGGGGCAGTAACCCAATCCTCTGACCGGCTTGTCGCGCTCTGGCGGCAACCACTTTAATGGCCCCGAGGCGACACCTGTCCCTCCCCTCACCTCGCCGCCGCGATCGCCTCCCGCAAAGCCGCACCAACTCCGCACCAGCACGCCCCCCGATGCTCCCCTTCCCCCCGCTCCGCCTATTCTAAACCAAAAATCTTGCCTTTCTGTAAACTAGATTTCCCCTTGCTAATTCGGGTATTATACCGCCGGCTAATCACACTGTCCCGCCTGTCGCCTGCCCCCTTGTTTATAAGCCCAGCCCCCCCTCCCTTGCCTTCTTTGTCGGTCGCCTTTGTGTTTGTGGGATAGAGTCGCCGAGAGAGACCGGCGGAGGAATTTTCGCTGCCGGTAGAGAGAGAGAGAGAGAGATCTTGGGGGAATTCGGCGGGGAGGGTGTGTGTGTGAGGAGGAGGGATGGAGATGCCGGGAGGGAGCGGCGGGGCCGGCGCGCTGGCCAGGCAGGGGTCGATCTACTCGCTCACCTTCGACGAATTCCAGAGCGCGCTCGGCGGCGCCGGCAAGGACTTCGGGTCCATGAACATGGACGAGCTGCTCCGCAACATCTGGACGGCGGAGGAGTCCAACGCCATCGCGGCCACCCTGACGCCGGCCACCACGGCCGTCCCGACATCCAATGTCGACGCCCAGCCCCCGCCGCCGCCGCCGCTGCAGCCGCAGCAGCAGGCCATCCTGCGCCAGGGCTCCATGACGCTGCCCCGCACGCTCAGCCAGATGACGGTCGACGAGGTCTGGCGCGACATCATGGGCTTCTGCGACGAGGAGCCGCCGGCGCCCCCCGCGCCGGCGCCGGCGCAGGCGCAGGCGGAGGCCCAGGCGCAGCGGCAGCAGACCCTGGGGCGGATGACGCTGGAGGAGTTCCTGGTGCGGGCCGGCGTGGTGCGGGAGGACATGGGGGGCCAGACCGTCGTCGTGCCGGCGCGGGCGCAGGCTCTGTTCCCTCAGGGCAATGTGGTCGCGCCGACCATGCAGGTGGCGAACGGGGTGGTGCACGGAGTCGTCGGGCAGGGGCCTGGCGTAGCGATGACGGTGGCGGCGCCGACCACGCCCGGCGTGCTGAACGGGTTCGGGAAGATGGAGGGCGGGGATCTCTCGTCGCTGTCGCCGGTGCCGTATCCCTTCGACACCGTGACGAGGGCGAGGAAGGGGCCTACCGTCGAGAAGGTGGTGGAGAGGAGGCAGAGGCGCATGATCAAGAACCGGGAGTCCGCTGCCAGGTCCCGCCAGAGGAAGCAGGTGAAGCTCTCGTTCTTCAGCCTCAGTGGTGTACCTATCCATCATCATACGCCTTTTGCTTAACTAATCTGAAATACTATCTGAAACCGAACCCAGGTTCACAGGGTGTCTATATTGGGTATGCCCCTCCGTCATGTTGTAGTACTTTATTCGTTGATGTGATCTGACACTTCCATTTTAGCTGCTAGATAATAGTTTATCCCTGAGTAGCCCCTGCAAATAGCAAGTTGGAGTTGTTAACAGTGTGAAACCCAAGATGAGAAGAATCTATGTGGATCGTCATTCAAGTCGACCCTCTCAGATTCAGGAAGATAATGGATAACTTTGTTCATTCCGGAAATGAAGTTTAGGCATTGCAGCATTGTGGGTCTTCTCATCTCTTCCATCTGCTATCGCGATGGTAGGGAGGAGGATGAGAAGCATAGTTACTTTCTGGTGAACTTTGTCTTAGGCTAAGCAGGTAGCATTGTATGCCTCTTTATGCACCATTTCTATATGGCCTATAAAATTCTATGTTGTGAGCACAACAAGCTCTATTTGATAGGACTGACCGATGGCAAATAGTTTCAGATGATTCCATTTATTGTTGTCATCTAACCATATCACAGTTTGTATACACCTAAGTTTGAACCGTCTGATGTATGGCAGGCTTATATCATGGAGTTGGAAGCCGAGGTAGCAAAACTGAAGGAGAACAATGAGGCATTGCAGAAAAAACAGGTATACATAAAATTGCTTTAATGACTATATGCACATTGTTTATTTACTAACCTTGCAATTCTAATCAGTTAGTAGTACTTTGTTGATTTCTTGACTCTAGAAAGTTCTAATATTGCTTGCTGCAATTGCCATATTTGTCTGCTTGTTTGGTAGTATCATCTATGCTTTTTTAGTTCTCCCCAAATGATGCTTATTGCTGTCATGAGTCATGATTGTTGTCACAACCAGCATTTTTGTAATGCCTGGTCGTTCTGGTATATGTTTTGCACAGCATTGACTGACTTGAGTATGACTTGAATAATCGTTGGAGGCTGCATAAAAATAATCTTTTTAAGTTTAAATATTCTGTTGTTAAATCAATCTCGTAAAATTGTTGTTTTGGCTACCATGCCTTGCGTTTGCTACTTCTACTCATCTTTGGTGCACTCAACTGTTTTTACTAGCAGATTGTTATCTCTTGATTATGAAATATACATTCCACACTGTATCATATTTTGTGTGATTAATAGAACTTGAGGTTCACTATGTTTCACATGCATGTCTTTCGTTATCTATATGTTGTTAGTTATCACATTTTTTACATTTTAGTTATCACTTCTTTGATTTGAAAAAATGAATGAACATTTTTGTTTGACTTCAACATAAAGGTGTGGACTTTACAGTAGATCCGCTGGTTACATTAAGTTATCATACATTTTCCTTCTGAATTTCTGATTCATGCTTTAAAGAGCTACATTCACTTTTGTTATGCTTTTAATACGCAGGTGGAAATGCTACAGAAGCAAAAGGATGAGGTAATACCATTTGCAGAAAATATTTTTTGTTACTAATATCCATTGCGTTTGGTCTGATTGTTGTGGAAGTAGTACCATGCAGCCCTGTTATTTACATCTCATTCTGATCACTAATGCTCTTCGTCTATTTGGATTTATCACTGCTGCAAACTACAGTTTTGTTGGTTGAATTGCAAAAGAGTGCAAGATGGTTTTCCATAAGTTCATCTATCTAGCCTGTTAGCCTCATACATTGTTGATACTAGGTGTCAAGTGCCACAATGACAGCCGTATTAGTCATGCATGCATAGTTGCATACATTCAAAATCTTTTATATATAAAATATGCACTCAACCTGTTATTCCAAGACTTCGTGTCTGGATGGCTGTGAGTTGGATTTGAAAGACACTTGTTTTAATATACTGGTTTAGATATCGGCAACTTATAAAATACTAGTTCCAAAGTAAGCCATGGGAAATTCATTTGATGTAGCATCAAGAAATGTGGAGATGACTGATTGGATTTCAATCTGGGGTTAGGAAAATGTTTCCAGGTGACTCGGATTATAATACAAAAATCCCTTATTGTTCATTGGTCCTGTTCTCAGCCTTAAACTCAGTTTTTCCAGTAACTGGTGAGGGTACCTAGTTTGAGAATATGCCCAATATACAGCCTAACAAATAGACATAGTTTAAATATCTAGGGCGATTGGCAGTTGCACTCTTGACTCTTTTGATGTCAACTACTACTCTTTGCCTTGGTGGTTCTGTTTAAGATTCAAAAGTTCTATTGCCATTACCTAGGAGCATTAAGAGATTGTAGGACTTAAGTTACAACAGAACATTTGAAACCATGATTCCGAAGTTCCATAAACCTGGGCACAAAGAAGCCAAGAGGGCCATGCTCTCATAACATGTCAGTGCTTTTTGGCTGGTCCTCATCTTGCGAAGGATATCTCAGCTGTCAACTCTTATTTGATGCCACCTTAGATCTCAAGCTTGCAAGACAGACTAAAGATAAGAAAAATCCTAATACCACTTGTTTCGAAACAGGAGTTTGCTTCTGTATTGATACATCATGTCTTAAAAACTAAAAAACAAACTGTGAACCATTCTAATCTGGAGATTCGAACTAACATTCGCCATATGTTCTGTTTGGTGATAAACTGATAATGACCTCCGGCTATCATCAGCCCAAACTCCGCCAAGTATGAGCTACTTGTCAGCAGCATAGCAACTGGTGTGATTTATTTAATAAGAGATGTGCATAAGCGTGCAAATCTCAGATTTCATAGGAAGCCAAAATATTATTCGTCTGTCCTATGATTCTCCCTGAAGTAGTACTGTGTTGTAGATAATTTAGGTCTATTGTTTCACTATATGCTTTCTGTGTAACCTACCGGAACTGAGAAAATGTCCAAAAGCACAATGTTTGTCATGACGTGTAGAAGATTTTGGAGTTTTACAAGGCAAAGATATTTTGGTAGGTCCTGTAAGAGATGGATGATGAGTATGGCAGAGATAGTTTAGACTTTAGAGGACTCTAGAATTAGATACAGTGACATTTTTGGGGAAGATTTCTACCATAAAGTTTTTTGCAGTTGAGGGTTTGGCTTTTGCCACATGGCGACACTAAATAGAGATCTAGCAGAGCCTCCTGATAGCATAAGCTTTCATAACCTAACATGCCATGGTGAAGACTAGGATGTCCTTAGTAGTGAAGAGATAGGGTGAATTAAGTGTAGCCACTGGTTTGTTAATGGTAAATAAAGAGTTGAGTCACCCATATTTTACAAGAGTTAGTCTCCCAGACAATCCACATAGTTCTAGATTGATTTGTGATTTTGGAGGAGGGGGGCTTGGCTACCAAAATCAGTGTCTCTATTGCTTAAGATGTTAGACAATCCACATAGTTCTAGATTGATTTGTGATTTTGG